TGCAGTCAAACTTCCCCCAGTTTGAGCTCAAATAGGGGAACACAATACTGTGATGTGCTTAAAAAGTGTCTGAAAGCATAGATCTTAGAGTTCTTACTGCTTTTCCCATAGCATTCACGGGATAGAGAGTTTATCCAGACAGGAAATATGGGATAAACGTGCATTTCTCTGAACAGGCAGACTCTGGGCAAGGGAAGCCCATCTGACTGGATGTGTCAAAAGGATCAACTGGTTGCTTTAATTTACTGCCAGCAAGCAGCTGAGAATGTTTCACGGTCATAAATTGAATCTGTGTTCTTTTCTATTTTGTTGCACATATATTTAATTCAAGGAAGCATTTCAGAAATGAAATCTCACAGTTTGCTGCAACTACTTGGCACAAGTCCTGCATGCACCTCCTGGGATTGGTTCCAGCGACTCTCCTGCACCGTGCCATGCTTTGGAAAAGAAACTGTACGTGGAATGGAACGTTTCTTACTGTGTATCTGTCCACGTAACACGTCGGCTCTATGTCTGCCATTAAAACGTATGCCAAAGCTGTTAAAAAGGACTTCCAGTGTGGTTTGATGTGAAATAGTGTAGGGGTCCTGGTCCTGGAGATCTACCACCCTGGAGAGTTCAGATTCAAGACATCTGACTCTAATAATCAGATGCCCCTGAAGGCCTTGGTTACCTGAATCAGGTTTGTTAGATTAGGATTGCAGGGGCCCTGCTGAAGAAAGGCCATTAGAAACTATTAGGATTAAAAACAATGGTTTTGGTTTTTTTGTAAAGGGATTTGGCTCAATGGTTTCAGCAGGGTTGGTAGAGTTTCAGGACCAGGATTGGGCAGCCCTGATGTAGGGAAACTTACCGATTCGAATTTCTTTATAATGGTGGTAATAGGAACCAGGGAATCGTGATATCTACAACCCTAAATAGCCATTTATTTGCCATGGAATGACCAGTGGTATGGAGTACACATACAAAAGCATGGAATGAAGTGCTACATACAGTAAAGAGGAAAAAAATATTTGAAAGTTTTGACTCGCGTGCAGTTTGGATAGCATGTATGCTAGCTAGCATAATTCAGCTAATCTAGAGCTAGCTGTTTTGCTAAAGATTACAGTTCTGTCCTACATACCGCAAGCTTCTCTGCAAGAGGTTCATTACTTGAAGCTGTGTTTTTGTACAGTGCAATGGCTGCAGCCAATAGCAAGACTTAACTAAAAGTCTCTACCAAAGACTCCAGATACTTGTAACAAACAAGGTGAGGCAGGTGAGACTTTTATGGCGAGGAAGCCGAGAGTCAGCCTCAGACCAACACAAACCAAGAACTAAACAATCTGCCAAGCAGAGACCTCACCTCAAGAGCGGCTACAAACACGTGTGTATGTATGAGGGAGCTAATGAGTCCAGAGAGGAGTTGCAGGTGTGTTAATGAGTGGGCGGAGCTGGAGCTGTAAAAGAAAAACAAACAAAAGCGCATGGCCTCGCCACATGAACTACCGTGCAGGCCCTGGAGGGGGCGGTGTTTATGACAACACTCCACTCAGACTCGCATGAAGCATCTTGTACTTTCTCGGATTAAAACACAGGGTTGCAAAGTCTACACACGTTTTTTTTGTGTCCATATATGTCGATTAAATAAAATTGTTTGGCTATTTTGGTGATTTTATGTTTGAAAACTTTAAAATAAAAAGCGCATTGCAAAATATAGCAACTTCAAAAGTGCACAACTTACTGAAATACCTTTGTCCACAAGTTTTTACTTTCTTCAACGGTCAGACAGCATAACTAACAACAAATGACTTATTTTTGCATGCTTTTAGAAAATATGACCATGGTATTGTATCATAAAGAAGACCCCCATTGACCACCATGGTTTGATGCCATCAGTTGCCCTTTCACAAATTCTGACCTAGTTTCGGCCTAGGGGTCAAGTGACTACTTTAAATGGCTAAAACTTTATATCAGGCCCTGAAATATACATATCAGACCCCTCAAAATGACCATAATATTTTAGGCATTACATTTTTTTGTAATAACTCTCAGTTAGGCAGCTATTAAGCATTTCATGGTTCCTGTCGCCGCCACTGTGAACATTTCTGACTCAGCAAGTTTCTCTAGAACAGAACATTTCACGTCAAGCACTCTGAAGGACTTTGTTTACATGAGAACTGTTTAATAATAGTCAGGGGTAAAGTGGACATGAGGTGCAAATGCTTGCATAGCCTGGAGCAGCACGTGTGAATCTGTCGTCCTGCGAGCGACAGTGTCCCAGTGTGCACTTTCGTTTAAGTGGTTCTTTGCTGCATTGTGGTGCGTTTGACAGCTGTTGGACTGTCGACGCCTCAGTTCAGCGCTCTACCCTGGGCTGTGTTCTCCTGGTGATTCTGCGTGCCGTTGGTTGCTCTTGTGAATTCTGGAGTTGCATGATTCTGTGATCCAACTCTAAAGAGTCACCTGACTTCTCTCTGCAGTTGCTAACAAGTCCCGCCGCCCTGACCTACCAGGTATGTTCAGGCCCTCGATCTGTTCCCTCTTCCTCTCTCCTTCCTTTCTACTTTCTTTTCTTTTTACCCCAGTCTTTGTTGGCCTATCACTAAAGCCTGATCAAAAAAAATCTGAATGGCATCCTTCCTTTCTCTCTGTCCAGGATTGGTTTGTCTGGACTGCTTTCACCTGTTGAGGTATTTTCTGCCACATTACGTAGTTGCGAAATGAGGAAGCAAACAAAGAGCGATGCTATTGCAGATTTTTTGAATGTGGCTTGTGCCCCTCCAAAGCAGTGCGTTCTTTAAAGGACAATGCTTAGCTGTGGGAGAGCGAGAAGCCGAACCTCTGCTACCTTCTTTGTATGTTCCTGTGCACGCAACTACAGCTACTAACCCTTCCATGCATCCATCTAACCTTCGTCTATCCTTCTGTGCATCCATCCATCCAACTGCTGACATTTTCAAGCGTTAAGTTTTAGTTTGAGATGGACGAATTGGTAGCAAATCAAGAAAAACCCGGTACTGTACAGGTACAGTTTTAGCCCCGAAAGGTATACATACAATGTAAATGTCCTGAAAAAAAAAAATAACATGGTCCAATTTGTGTTTCTTAAAGCAGTGGTGCACAATTTTCCATTCATCCCAAACGTACTCAATCAACCACGATGTATTTGCTGTCCAAATTTAGCTTTTTTAGTTTCGCTTCGGAGCTAACACTGCTAACAAACACTGGAAGTCAATAGTCACCCAAATCTTTTCCAGAAATACATCCCCCAAAACTTTTCTCAACCAACTCCAACCACATCCAGGTCTTCATTATACAGTATAACACAGTATAACTTACTGTAAATTCTAAAAAATGATCAAAACAGCATGTCTATGCACCTCAACGTCCCCAGCTAAGTAAAATATGGAGTGAGCAATGTATGGCAGATCTGTTCAAAGGAGCGTTTATCTTCCCACCACATGCACTGCACCCCTGTAATGCAGCTAATACAGAGTGATGCATGCCAACTCTCCTGTGTTAATCATTGCAGCCTTTTATGCCACATGTGCAGAGCGACAGTAGCAGCACGCTCGAAGTTTTGTTTCACTTTGTTTTTCGCCGCCTGTTGCTACAGAAGCGTAAACAAAAAGTGGTTGGTTTATTAGGGCATGTTGACTGTCGGTTGGTGGGGCATCGCCCCACTAAATGACTGCTGGGCCTGTTATGTGACCTTAACGAAGACCTGGATGTGGTTTGAGCTGGTTGAGAGAAGTTTTAAGGTTGCATTTAACAAAACAGTTTGGGTGACCGTTGACTTCTAGTGTTTGTTAGCAACGTTAGCCTCCAGCAGTGAACCAAAGAAGCAAAATTTGGACATTAACCATGTTTTGGTTGATTGACTACATCTGGGCTAAGTGAAAATTTTGGCAAAGCGTTCTCTTCAATGAGTTTTAAAGGTACACCACATTCACTTTCCCAGGGGAAAGGGGCATGTTTATAGCGTTTCATAAGAAAATAACAATCTGAGATGTATGGAGTCAATGCATTAAATTAATATGGTACAATTATGTTTCAAAACTAAAGGAATTGATCATGCACCGCCTCAGTGACAGCATTTGGTTTAGGTATAGGTATTAACTAGTAATAACGGGACCAGATCTGGTTCAGTTTCAAGCGATTTTAAGCCAACGTGACTCATTAAAGCTGCGAGTCTTCACGATGCTGCTTCCCTGGCTGTGGTGAATGGAGAGCTTGGCTGGTTTTGAATGATCTTTATGTGCAGCAGCTGCAATAAACATTGTGATTACTCATCAGCAGGGGTGAAGGAAGGGAGTATGTAATGATGAAAACAAGCAGGGCACTGCCGGTTTATGCAATAAGAGAAAAAAAAAGATTTGATAGTGTCTACTAGCAACACATGGGCAACTCTTGTCCTCTGCAAAATAGGTCTATTGTGTAATTGCGGCAAAACAGAAGAGGGTCTTGCAGTGAACGTACAGTTTGGTGGATGTTTGCGTGTCCATGTATATGTGTAGGCTTGCATATGATCTCCTCCTTTTTAGCCTTTTAGACATGCATCTTCTCTTCTTCTGTCATTGGTTGGGGCAGCTGTGCATCAACAGCTCTAATTTCACAGGATTAGTGCCAACAGCTTGTTTTGTTTTTGCTTTCATGGCTGCAAGTCTGCAAGGAAGCGTCCCAGCAGGGCTGTGCACATATTTAGCATGTGAGAAACCCTCCAAAGATCCCACCTGGTGGTGCGCAGTGCTCAATGGGCCATTCTTCAGAGAAGGCCCTCAGTATTAGCGGCTGTACGATCCTAAGCGTTCTACAGCGAGGCGCTCTGGGCCCAGCTGTTACGAACACTCACACATGCGCACGCACGTACCTTAGGAGATGGGAAGCTATGAGAAGCTCTTGCTTGATCTTGCAGCTTGAGACCCAGGTTGCACATAGATATACATCAGAGCTTTTGGGCTCTCCGCCCGTCTGCACATGTGTAACGCTGCAGTGATTCTTCCTCTCTTCTCACGCAGCTCGCCGCCCAGGTGCTCGACGATCTCGACGACGAGGATATCGGATTCGGTCTGGTGGACGAGAAGAAAGATGCTGCTGTTGCCAAGAAACTGGGTAATGGCCTCGTACTGCAATCTCTGAACCCCAACACAATAATCGCACGCTCGGTTCCGCTGCTCAGTCACCATCACTCTCCCCTCTCGGGGTGGTTGTAAAACACACAAGGACAAGATTAAAAGAATCACTCTTCCTCCTTTGGCCATTTGCCAGATTCAAACGGCTGGTTTACAGCACCCCACAGTGCTGGAACATCTGTAGGACGCACTGGAACTAGAGTTCAACCAAAAATAGAACATCTCCCTCTGTTGGTGAACCATGAAACAGCATCTCTATGGAGAATGAGCTGGTGTTCATACAGATTGCATGCACTAGTCTGGCTGTCTATGAACTATTTTACGTATCTGGTCCAGTTTAGATGCTAAAAGAGGCCCAGGTCTTTATTTAAAGCTTTAAATTTAAATGTCAAAAAAGGTTGTTTAGTGAAGAAAATGGTTCTATATGGAACCATAAACACTCAAAGAACCCTTTGCATGATTAAAGCATTCTTTGCATTGTTTAATGCTTCAGATTGAGGGAGAATGTGCAATAGATGGTTCTATATAGAACCATATAGCACCAAAAAAGGTTCTTCTATTTTATGAAGTCAAACTTGTAGAAAAACCCTTTTTGGTTCTAAAAAGGACACTTTTCAAGAAAGTTCTATTTAGAACTATATAAAACATCAGTCTAAAGAGCCTGTTATTCATGCAAAGCGTTCTTTGGGTGTTCATGGTTCTTTATAGATCCATTTTCCTAACTAAGGAAGCCTTGAAGAACCATCTTTTAAGTGTGTATATTTAGACAGATAACTATCATGTGTGGAATTATTGAGATAAATCATATTATCATAACCCAAATTCAGTTATGAAGTACCACATGTGAGAATTTCACAGTTTGCACTGTCCCTGATGGTAATATAATTATCATATTAATACACATTGGGCGAATATTTCTTCTGAGCTCTGAGTTGCATGCATTTGCTTGGTGGAAAACCAAAACTTGGTACCTTTCTTCTGGACGGCCTAGCTCATTTTCATCTTCAGCCTTTTCAACCAGAATTAAAATTAAGGGCAATCTTTTCTACTGTATACAATTTTTTTCTAACCATAGACTACAATGACTTCATGATATCAGCACTTACATAAATGATCATGATATTGTGTAATATCAATCATTGGCCCAGGATTATGGTGAAGAAACTTCATCGGTTGCATTCATAAGTTTGTTTTGATGCTGTTCACTGGACCTGAAGAACCCTCATCACCACAAGCATACACCACATTTTAAGAACAATCCTCATGGTCGATGCCAACAGTAGCTGTTTGACCCAGAATACTCTGTTTTTGGCAGGTTTGGAGGAGGTGGACAGCATCTACATCTTCGCTGATGATGAGATCATTGAGTACGATGGGCAGATGGCTGCAGACACGCTGGTGGAATTCCTCTATGACGTGAGTCACGCTGATCTGGCTCTCTGAGCTTGGCTTGGAAACCTGCCTAAGAGAGTTCCAGCTGTTATCTGCATGTAACTCACTACTTAGATCTGTCTCAGTCTCAGAATCACAGAGTGAGGTTCTAATGGCCTGTTTGGATGGTTCTTATCAACTCAAACTGACTACTCAGCTCTAATGACCAGTTGTTTGCATTCAGGTGGTCATCAGCAACTGGTAAATGTATCACGTGAGCTAAAAATGGATCTACTGGGATGGACCAGAGCCAGCTGTGTTCTCCTAGTGTCAGAGATTGGTGATATATCAGCTTGTAAAGTCAGAGTTTTGGTGCGTGAAGATGGTTTTCGTGAACTTGTAAAGTCATGAATTTCCAAGTTTATCAGGATGAAGTTGCACTGAATTGGCTAAAAAGGTGTAAATGCAGTAAAGTTAGTATTCAATATATGAATGATGCCAAAAGCAACAACCAACAGCAGCATTTGTGCCTGTTTTTGCAGTGGATGATGTCATTGGTCCATCCCATCAAATATACATATTGTTTACTTGACCAAACCAAACAACTAGTACAACTGGTTACATTCATGGCTTTGTCAGCTATAAGTGGATGTTACTTGGATCAACTCAGACACTGACCTCTTTAGGACCGGTATATTGACTGGTCAAGCTTTGAGGCCATATTGAAGTGAAATAAACGTAATTTAAAACTGCCAATTATTAATGACCCATTGACCACATTCTCCTCAGGTCATTGAGGATCCAGTGGAGATCATCGACAATGAAAGGGAGCTAAAGGGCTTCTATAACCTCGATGAGGACATCAAGCTGGTGGGATATTTTAAAACCGAGAATTCTCGCCGTAAGTATAGATCAGTGACTGTATATGCTGTGCAGTACAGTCACCCAGAAGCCTATTTTGCCCTGTCGGTATTTTATACTAATCCATACGTTGACCTTCTCCATGTTTCAGACTTTATTGAGTACGATGACGCCGCTGAAGAGTTCCATCCCTTCGTCAAGTTCTTTGCCACCTTCGATCCCAAAGTAGGAAAAGCCCATTATGGATATTTTTATCTGCAAATCATTTTAGATAAATAAAATGGTTGGTCCTCTGAAAATTACATACTGAAAACGATTTTTTTTTTATAATATAATGGAAATAAGAGTTACTGCTGCTTTTAATATGTTGCAAAAATATGAAAGCATAGTTTTAAACAAAATACTTGCCCAGAGCTTCAGTGTATACAAATATGTGTCATATTTATCATCACCTTTCAATTACAGTGGCCCCAAAAAGTTTTTGGACATTTATGCCAAACTTAGAAATGTATTATATTCATTGTGTAAGGAAAAAAAAGTGTCAAACCAAGTGGTGTTTCTTTAAAACAGAACAGATTTTTGCAGGTTTGCAACCAAAATGTACACTTATGAGTTCATGATGAGCCTTAGTATATAATAATCCCGGGATTTGAAGGGGTTAAAGCGTCCAGATATTTTTGGAGTGACTGTATATAGGACAAAGAAATGATTGTTTTTTTACAGAATATAAACTGTATTTATATATTTGCATTTTTCATCTGATACATTTTATTGTAATGATAGGTGATAGGTTCTTATAGGAGCCACGTCAGTGCCGTGCTGTAACCGTTTAAATGTTCGGTATATTTGGTTGTAAACAAAAATCTTGTAGTAATCTTGTTATTATGCACTTAGTGCTGCTGTTGCTTTTGGCTATCGGCTTTCCTCACTGTCCAAACTGCTGCGTCTGCTCAGATTGCCAAGAAGCTGAAGCTGGACCTGAATGAGGTGGACTTCTATGAGCCTTTCATGGAGGAACCCGTCACCATCCCGGGAAAACCATACACTGAGGCCGAGCTGGTCGACTACATCGAGGAGCATGAGAGGTATGTTCAGGCTGTACTTTGGAGACGCCTTGTTTTTTTGGAAATTTGAAGAAATCAAAGGTTTTTGGTGTTTTGTCTGCTCAAATAAGCATCATTCAACTAATTAAGGCAAGACACTACAGGAGAAATGTTGATTTTGGTTTTGATTTATGGATAAATTGTGTAAATGTCTTAAACTATAATCATAAACGTCAAAACTCAACAGAAATACATTTATTTCATCAGGGTTCCCCTTGGGTCTAAACTGCATTCCGAAAGTTAGCAACTTTAATGAAGGCTTAGCTCCGCCCACACTCGGCACATCATGTCATCATTGGAAAGCTTGTTTTCTGTAACTAAAATGTCCAAATATGTCTATTTTATTTGTACTAAAGCATACAAATTTGTTTTTTGAGTTTTCACTGAATAATGCAATTCAGCAGCCATTTTTAAAACCGTTTCTTCTAAAAATCCAAATTTTTTTCAAATTCCAAACCAAAAAATCTCATCTTCTAGAAAACCCACATTCATAGAATTTGGTAGGATCATTACTAAGTGTATTCTGATTTTTCTTTACTGAAGGAAATCCTAATATATCGCTCATGGCTGGATTTATGCTACATTTTGTACTGCAAAGTGACCTGAAAAGGTACCAGTTTAAAATTAGAAAACCTTTTTAAACGTTCATGAATGGTTTAAAATGAGTTTATTATTGGTTATTAATAAGGTCATAAAGACCTTAAACCATTAATAAGCATTTATAGCACATAAAAAAGGCCTGTTGTTTGCCTAATAGTGAACACTCACTTATTTATACTGTTAAACCTCAGATTTTGATCTTTACTGATCTTACTTGTCTTTATCAGTCAACATTAAACCTGTCAGCTTAATCACATTCATATTCATCAGATATAACATCTCACTTTCGCCCTTTTTATTAATGTTATAACTTCTTATTAATGACTTTTATCGTGTTTATGACCTAATTAATAATAATGAACAAACTAATGTTAAACCATTCATAAACTTTTATGAGGGTTGTGTTATTTGCAAATAGTAACCTATGATTAAACAATAAAACGATGAGATTCCAACCATCTGTTCTGTATAATCCTTTATTTGAAATGCACTTTTACAGTCTTACCACAATTTTAATTCTAATGACAACCAGAAATGTAAATCTAAGATTTTCAGTACTCAACTGGCAAAGATTACTGGGATATGTACTGCCCTATTCACCGGTAGTGACCATTAGGGGGAGCTAATAGCTAATCTGTCTGATGAAAAATGCCTAATTTTGGTCCAAGTTCACTACATGAATGCATCCCATAAGCTCACAGTGTTCTTGAGGGACTGAATCAGTTTCTTCTCTTTTCAGACCAACTCTGAGAAAGTTGGAACCCCATAGCATGTATGAAACCTGGGTAGGTTTGATAGCAAGAACGCTACATACATCATTAAGATATCCCATGTTTTTTAGCTAAACTAATAGAAACACATCTTTTAATATGGCAAAAATGATTAATATTGGGGTTTTTTTCTGGTGTAGGAGGACGACATCAATGGGCAGCACATTGTGGCCTTTGCTGAGGAAACTGACCCCGGTACCCTGAACATCTCAACCCCATTTACATTTCATAACAGTGAATGATAATCATTCTATTCATTCAACATTCTGGTATTGTGTCTTTATTGACACTGGATAGATGGTTTCGAGTTCCTGGAGATTCTGAAGGAGGTGGCCCGCGAGAACACAGAAAATCCTGACCTAAGCATCATCTGGATTGACCCGGACGATTTCCCTCTGGTGAGAGCCTCCACAAACCTAACGCTAAACCAGATCCCACTCTTATGATCGTCTAAAGTTCACGATTCTCTAAAGCACAGATACTTCAGCATAGTGTTTTTGAGAAGCTCATCAAGATGTGTCCCAGAACCGACACAAACACCGACTATGCTAACCATGATTATGCAGCTCTAAATATTGATTATGCTGGGCTGCCCCAGATTGAGAAATTCATAACCAGTTTCTCAGATCAGGGATTGAACCCAGACTAAAAAGGGCTTTCAATTGCGAATCACTGTCGGCATTGCTATTAAATGCAATGTTTGAACATCCCTGGTCACAGTTCTCAGTGAAAACAGGGTAACACATCCTCTGCAGAGAACATGCTTATACGCCGATCAGGCATAACTTGTTTCTACGCTCATTGTCCATTTTATCAGCTCCACTTACTATATAGGTGCACTTTGTAGTTCTACAGTTATAGACTGTATATATATTGGTGGGTAACAAAAAAAAAAAAAAAAATTTCAGCAATTTCAGCTTATAAGGAGGCAGCCACGTTCACTGTGTTTCTGAGTAAGCTACACTTACACTGTATTTTGTAAACCAAACTTAGATGCAGTGCTAAAAATGTAAGTTAAGTGAGTGTTTCAGTAAAATAAGTTGAGAAATAAGCATTTTTCACAGGGCTAGTGAATTAAAGAATGTCTGTAAATCATGACCGTGTCCTGTGACCTCTGTGTTTGTCGTTCAGCTGGTGCCCTACTGGGAGAAGACCTTCGGCATTGACCTCTCCTCTCCTCAGATCGGCGTGGTGGATGTGAAGGATGTAAGGCCACTGCCTGAAGAGCTGTGTTAAAAGCCTGTTCGCTGCCTGAGGGGCTGTGATACGATGCCTGTCCGTTGCGTGAAATACTCGGCTGTGGTCTGTAAGAGAGTTTGTGAGAGGGTTGTGTGTTCTAGTCCTGCTTTCTGCCTTGCAAGCTCCCTATTTTCAGACTGTCCCTCACAGGCTGAGTCTATTTTGCCTGGTACTGCTGTCCTGACCTGCCTGTCTGTATTTGCCGCTCCTGCCTCTCCCAGACTCTCTCTCTGTCAGCCTGGACTTCTCTTCTAGCCTGCCACGGCTGGTCCGTCTCTATGTTATATTAAGGGAAATCAGTTCTGAAGCATTTGTGAGGCACCCGTCATTGCCATTTCAATCGTGTACACTGTATGATCAAAAGTACTAATTACAGCCCAAACTGAAGGGTCAGCCCTAATAGTGACAGTACACCAGTGGTGAACTGTGATAATGATGACTAGACCTAAACCTGTGATTCTGACTGTCACAATATCTATTGTTGGTGCCATCATGTTTTGAACATGCAAAAAAAAGGAAGAGGTGCACTACTCCAGTCCAGGAGGCCCTGTGTCCAGCACAGTTTGGTAGTTTCCCAACTTAAACACAACCATTTAACCTAGCAATTAACAGATGAGTGTAATCTGGTGTGTTTGAGTTGGTAAATCACCAAACTGTGCTGGACACCAGCCCTCCAGGACCGGAGCTGTGCACCCCTGCTGTAGAACAATCAGAAAGGAGAAAAATTAAAGGCTGATAGTCCCTTCAGGTTAGTTGACAGAGCTGTCAGTGTGGACTGGATGGACAGTTGCTTGCACTTCATTTCTGCTGCACTTGCGTGCCACATCCGATGTGAATGCTGTGCTGGACTGTCTCTGGGCTGTCTGGCTGATTTAATCTAAAGCTTTTTAATAATAATGTAAGAATGGTTTCTGTGTTTAACTTATTTTCCCTTTTACTGCATCGTTCAGGAGGAGTTTATCTTTATTCTTATTATTTAGGCAGTTTTTGTATGTGTTTCAGTGTGTTTCTCACACGGTTTCTCTTTGTCTCTTCCTATCTGCATCTCTCTCTCTCTCTCTCTCTCTCTCTCTCTCTCTCTGTCTCTCTACTCATATCTCTGTTCCACAGGCTGACAGTGTTTGGATGGAGATGGACGATGAGGAGGACATGCCCACTGCCTATGAGCTGGACACCTGGATCGAGGATGTTCTGGCAGGCAAAGTTAACCCTGATGAAGATGATGACCTTGACGAGGATGATGACGATGAAGCTGATGATGACGACGACGATGATGAAGACGACGATGACGAAGACGACGATGACGACGAAGATGATGATAATGACGATGATGACGACGACGAAGATGACGATAACGATGATGATGATGACGATGACGAAAAAGATGAAGATGACGATGATGATGATGATGATGATGATGATGATGATGATGATGACGACGACGACGACGATGACGATGACGACGATGATGACGACGACGACGATGATGACGACGACGATGACGACGACGATGACGACGGCGATGACGATGCCGACGATGATGACGACGACGACGAAGATGACGATAACGATGATGACGACGACGACGATGATGACGACGACGACGAAGATGATGATAACGAAGATGACGATAACGAAGATGACGATGAAGAAGATGACGATGAGTGAACTCATGCCGTCAACTACGATGACAACAATGATTACAACGACAATGATGAAGACAGTGATGACAATGATAATGATGATGAGGATGATGATGAGTAAACAACTACTTCCATCATCTCAGGGATCGCTCGTTGGCCAGCACTGGCCAAAAGACGTCAAAAATCATCAACATCTAGTCAAGTTCAAAGTTCATCTTCAGATCTCGTGTCCAAACTTCATGGTCATCACTACTTGTTATCAGAAAATCCTTGCCTTTCTGCAGACAGCATCAGTCAGTTTGAACCCCTGCCACCACTGAAGCTTGAGGAGCATTACCTGATTGATCTGTTGACAGCACCCCCCCCCCACCCCCCACCCCCCGTGTCTACAATGACTGTCATCAGAGATGGGGACTCCTGACTTGACTTGTACTCACCTTAGCTGACCCTTGACTCAGACTCTAGACTGAAGACTGAAATTTCAGCCTGACAATGGACAAAATTGACTAAATTAGGATCACCAACCTCAAATGTAGGAACCTTTTGTTTCCAACATAACAAGCCTGTCAGTTCTGCAGTGTACTTGTTCATCATTACTGCAGTGACGTTCTCCCACAGCTCACAGCGGCATCAGGTTCAATACGGCTCGAGTAACAAACCTTTCATTATAGAAACATCTTTAGTCTGATGGACAGAAAGAAGCACGACATGTATTAAACGCGGTGTTTAAAAGAAAACAAGCAAAACAAGTTGAAACGGTTGGCTAGCATGTTTGGATAGCAAATATGCTAGCTAGCACGATAGCTAACTTCGCTGAAGTTGTCAGCTAATCTATCTGAAGTTTTTGTAAGTTACAGACTAAGATTACCAAAGGTTTAGCTGGATTAGCTAATACACTAGCTAGTTATTCAGCTGGTGTGTAACTAGCTAGTTAGCATACACGCTAGCATCTACAATATACCAACCTTTTCAGGTTGTCTTGCCTCTTTCCATTAACTGTAGCTGCATGTAGCATCATCAGACTGAAGGTATTTCTATAATGAAAGTTTCATTATTTGATACTGTGTTGAACCTAATAGGTTTTAGTTGGGGTTTACTTTTGTACAAAGCAATGCCTGCAGCTAACAAAGCGACTAAACTGAAAATTCTCTACTGGAGACTCGACTCGGACTTAAACCTCTGTTACTGGAGACTCGACTCGGACTAGCGAACATCTCAGACTGTCATCATTCACCACCGGTCTATGGTCCAAGCTCATACTCTCAAACTGTTACCTGCTGTTGGCTCATTATAAACAGCGTTCTGAGAAATAAAGAGGGAGGCAAACCTTGGGGGCAGCTTTATTTAGCTGTAAGGGCTGTGTGTTGTTGATTTACTGTGTATGTGGCTGTATGTGTGTTTGTGTACCCTTATGGTAAAAACAGATTTATATATATTTTTCATATCATATACTGTATGCTCCTTCTTGTACCAAAACCATATTTTGTTACTTTCTAGGAAAGGAGCTAGTCTTGTGGGGCCAGATGTGATCTTATAATGACAATACATATCTAAATCCCGCCCCTAAATTCTGTAATATGTGCTGCTCTTTTAACTTCGGAGAAATTGATAGCACGAGCAAAATAAGCTAGCTACTGAAATGCTATTGTTGGCTAAAGGCACTGTTCACTTGCAAGAGATTTATTTTTACTGCACATCCACACACGGGACACATCTGTATCAAGGCTATGCTCCCACTTTTTACACATTTAACCCAAGATTTCTCATGGTCGTTCCCATACGAGACAACATCTGGCCCCACAAGACTTGGAAAGGAGAAGCCTATGCTAACTAGAATGTCTTAATGCAGCACTGTTTGGAAAATGTCCAACATCAGTTTGACTGTTTTTGTTCAATGTTGGAAAAAGCAAGAAGAGAAGAACATGACGAAAACTAACAAACAGAAATACAGATCCATGGTCTTCATTTCGCTCGTGTGAGTGTGTGAGAGTGAGTTTGAATTAACACTTCAAACGGGCTTTCCAGCCCAAAACTAGATTTACTGTTATTTTTTAGTATCCTGTAGTGTATCCTGCAGCAGTGTAAATGAATTTGATCTAATTTTCATGTTTTTGTTCATCTATGTTCTCCCACCACAGTACCCAGCAGGCATATACATCATACAACCACTGGGAATCCCTATGGTGTCAACCAATCCTTACTGCTAGCCTAGCCACTGATCTAGAGGCTAATCAGTACAAACAAACTAGTTTTAGTGTAACTCTTATCTCAGTCATCTAACAAAATCATCAAGAAAACAGTGATTCTGGTTTTATTCAGCACGAAATGAACACCAGAGACAAGTTTTACCCCTTTCAGCCAGAGAAAAGAAGCCAAGCTGAGGTAAGGTATCTAGATAGCCAGCTACCACTAGCTTTCCTAGGGCGTACCTTCACGGGTGTAGCTACAGTGGGGCCTGAGGGTGGCTATGTCTTCCTACTTGAATAATGTGATGTTTTTAATATTCAAAAAATGTTTCTAGCTTTAATAAAGAGTTCTAACAGGTGGTTGCCATCTTCACTATGCCAGTCTCTTGGGGTCTTTGGGCCTTAATATTAGTGAACTGGCCCTGCCACCTGTAATCAGGCCTCCTTTAAAATTAAATTCTAGCTATTCCACTGGCGTGCCCCCATTTTTTTCTGTCGCAGTGATTTTAATCTGAAACAGGGCCTTTTGGAGAAGAACTCCAAAAAGGCCTCACTGTGCTGAGTATTCCTCTGTTTCTTGCATGTGAAGGTAATAATCAGTCATTAAATTGGGACTTAAGAGGCCGATGAGCTCTACTTCTTTTATGGGTACCAACAGTGAAGAAACATTGTTTAATTTACATCCTATATGAAGTTCTCAGGATTGATATCAAGGAAATGTCATAAAAGCTAGTTTTCAAAACACTCACATTAAATAAGCCTACAGTTCCAAGATCATACCTGTAAATGTGTGATGCTGGGAGATGAAAATGGGATCGGGCAAGCATGAGTGCTAGTACCATTAGCATTAGCTGTCTAGCAAACTCTCTGCAGAGTGATAGCTAGGAGATCTTCAGGGATGAAGCAAGAGTCCAAGCAGGTGTGCAAAGCTATGCTGAGTCAGGGTCTGTTCAGAAAGGACAGATCAGGGCACAATTCCAGCAGCTCCATGTGCTTTGGACAAAACAAGGCTGCTATTGTAGTTTCTTCCCAGTAGGGGGCAGTAGAGTAAAGTATCATGAATATCGCAGACATGCCAGCCTGAAATTGTTATGTGGAAGGGCATTGCTACGGTACTGTTTTTGCATTTTATTCAGTGGCAGATTTACAGTGTCTCCCAAAAGTATTTGGACATATGGCATACTTAAAACATAATAGCTTATTATTATGGTGTTAGGAAATAAAATGTCAAACTAAGTGGCACTGCTTTTAAATAGACCATTCCGAGACTATTCTTGGAAAAGGGGTCGTTATCATTTGAATATCTTGTCAGTAAACACATCAATGACAACACTGCAAAAAAAAAAAGGTCCAGACATTGACATTTTGCTGTACAGTACTCTCAGTACAGTCTGGCTGGAGGTTTTCTCCAGGCTTTCTCCACACAGAGAGTCGACCATCAGTCTTATGTTGTGCCAAAAATGTGTCTATTATGTGTTAAATGTTTTAAAGAACCTCATCAAAGTCTACCAATGGTCAAATGGCCAAAGTGTCCAAATACTTTTTGAGGCTACTACTAGATGAGGTCATTTACCTACACGTTTACTTAATTCCTGACTACTGTCCTTTAGTTGTTTGCCCATCTTTTACTCTAACTCTCTTTTCTTTGCCTCACAGAGTTCATTTTCCTTAATTCAGCTAGTGCACCTGTGGGATTCTAGTGCTGTGTTAGCACTGAGTTAGTCAGCACTAAAGTTAAAGTTAAAACACTTTGGCTCTTCTCAATTAAACAAAAAGACATTTGAGGCTTGTAAAATGACATTTCATGTTTTATTAGAAACTTTTGACGGACATTTTAAGACATAAAGAAGGTATTGGTCAGGCTACCAATCATATTCAGAGTCAGTGACGTATCTAGAACTTCCAGAAGGCCTAGAGTGATGGTTTTCTCTCAAAGTTGGAACCAGCCATTAGAATTCAAAACATGATTGGTTGATTCTTCTCTCAGTTCCTGATTATGTTAATGGATAATCTGACATGTCAATTTAACCCTTTTGTTTCCAAACCAAAATTCAACAATGAAATGAATATACCACAGGCCTGCAAGGCCCTGAGAGATTCCCACTGCATTTTCCTCTACATTTAATGGTTCCTGTTTACATTTACACGTCTGATTTAGAGTCTTAACTCAGTGGTAATTAGGGATAGGATGGTATGAGTACTTCCTGCAAGAATATCAATTTATTACAATTTTCTTTATTAAAGTATTTTCAAAAATATGCTGAAAATATTTATTACAGGTATTAGCATTAGCATGTGCCCTGGAAGATGCTAAACTCCGAGCCATAGTGGTCACTCAGAACGGCTTCCAGCTGCTTCACTTCGACCTTCTGCACGCGGCCATTGTTATCGGGGCCGATGTAGCCCTCTGAGCGCAGAGCACCACTGCCTCCGGAACAGCAGAAGGCGCTCCAGTAATACTGAGCCACTCTTACGCCATCCCCAATCTGCTGATTTCCAGGGATGACGCCTGTCACGACATAAGCTCCGTCGCATTCCTGCTGCAGCAGCGTGGCCACATCTTCCTCGTAGCGTCTCCACTGTCCGCGGTTGAAGGAGGGGTCCTGTGGAGCAGCGTTCGTCAGGGTGGAGGTGGCCAGCATGGTGTCCACAGTGTGGGTGTGGTACACAGGGAAAAGGTGGCCCTTGTCATAGCCAGAGCCTTCATAGTCTTTGTTCAGCGCCTGCCGCTGGCCTCGGTTGGCTGACGGGATCTTGTTTAGGGACCCCATGCACTCCATGGTTCCCCCGTCCAGCTGTAAGAAAAGAAAGATTGTGTTTCTGTTTTTACCATATTATTTCAGTAAATTAAAACAAAAACACTAAAGAGTTTGATATACTTAAAAATTTTAAAACATATTGTTCATTCGACAGTCCATACGGTCCATATATGGAAGCAAAGCTCATTTTTGTATATTAGTTGTATTTATATTATCTCTAAAACCAATATATTTACATATATCCATCTATTTAGCCTACAGATGTTTAGCTCCACCCATTCATGTGGGAGTGTTTCTGCCTGGACTGTTTTTGGATGGGGCCCAACACAACACAGCCAATCAGAAAAGAGGTTCATTTACACTCAGTTGCAAGTCTATAAAGTATAAGTACCTTGTGCTGATATTCACGGGCCATTTTATCAGAAACACCTGCCATATAGGTGCACTGTGTAGGTGTATCATCTCTGTAACTGTGTACCTACAAGAACTGCCAACAAAGTAAGTGCATCTAATCAAGTGGCAGGTCAATGTAAACACAGTTCTTTGGGCAACTGAAGGGCTTAACTCCAAAATGTATTATAGACCACTTTTAAGAACTCCACGATACACATTGTTAAGAGTGGGCTTTATATATACAAGAAATATTAATGCTATATTATGATTGACACCAATTTCATTGGATAAATAAAAATGTTTTCCATTATATTTGTTATTAATTTCAAAAACTTATTATATCCAATTTTTTTTATTATTTTACTAGGTTTAAAGCTTTTTGGAATAAAATTCTTGAAATATTCAAACACTAAAACAGTGTATTTTTGTATTGTTGCACAGGAAAAAACATTAACTTTTAATGGAAGTTAATATAACAAGATTTTCTTATATCATTTATGCAAAATTATTAAGGTTTTTGCATGACAGCGTCAATATAGTATCTAGCTTATAGCATAATTTCCAACCTAAAAACCTTCACAATACAAATCTTTGGTATTCTTTGCTATTTCCAGGTGTAATAACATAAGCTATTACAGGGCTATTACATAAAAGCATATGTTTATGGTCACATTCTGGCCATATTATTCATGAGATGTGATCTTGAAGCCAGCTTGAGTTTTCTGGTGATACTCTTACCTGTGGCTCCACATACCAGCGATCGTCTCTCTCCACGTCAGCACGACGGAATTCATAGGCCGAGTAGACGGGAATCTTGTTCCTGGTGTCGTACAGTGTGGCGTAGAAGTATTCCGGCTTCTGGTTCTGGTCCAGAAGGCACTGACAGATCTGCTCGTAGCGATTATTGTCTGTTTTATCTGTCAGAACTGTCGGAGAAATTCCTCCGACAAAGAACTGAGGGCATCGCGTGAAAGAGGTGACCTCGGCTAGAGAGACAGCAGGAAGTAGAACGAGGAGCACGAAAGAGCCGTATGGCATTGTGCCTGTTACTGTGATACAGACAGGGAAACACAGGAGTCTGCTTTGTTAGCGTCTTAAATACTCCAGATACACACGCAGGTGCGCCTACACAGCAGAACCCAAAGCTATTTTTATCCATCATGTTATTTATTGACCACCAAGCACTGCGGCCTCAAATTTGCATGGGAAAGGCACAGCTTGGTAATATCGATATATTTAAAGTTCAGCCGAGTACACGAGCCACAGAATACAGCACACTTCGCTTGAGTTTTTGGAGCTGTACACTTCGCCCATTTGCAGTGACCTGAGATTTCCATTAACTAGGCAACTGATCCATGAAATTGCCACCTTCCTATCACTGACATGCAAGCGACTGACTAAAACTGGTCCTTTGCATTGGTCAGTTTTGTGGCTTATATGGTCTGTAATGTTACAGTTGTGTAGTTTGTATCCTTCCAGAAACTGAGGAACGTTGAAGGAAGAAATGCGTTCTAATCTGTACTTTGGCGACTGTCACTTAGGTCTGTCTTTGGTATCGATTAACACCTTAACAGTTCAGTTCCTCATTCTCATAACTGCAGAATGTGCAATTTATAGTAGTATAATGTATGAATAATAAACCTAGGGCTTGAGGCGCTAACCAGAAAAACATGGTAACATGCTGCTGTGATGAACACTGATCGACCAATGGTTATAAAAGTCATTCATTTATCTTGCAGAACGCATAGCAAGACACTAGCTCACTATTACCTCGCCTGCTGGGCGATGGCCAACATTAATAACACATTTACTAAACTAGCGTAGATTGTTTGCACACCAAAAAGGTGTGAGCGGATCAATACTGAGGAATCGATATTTCAGATCCTGGCAATTCCTTTTGAGAATGGATCCCCATATAACGCAGATACAGTTATTACCATTTATATACCATTTATTTCATTTTCAGTCAAAAAGGTCAAGTACAAATTCATTTTTGTACATATTTAACAGAAAATAACAAATAAGCCTCAACAAGTAAATGTAATAAAAATTTGTAAAGTAATTCATGAGTCCACACTTAATCGTTTAACTTCATACATTCTTCACTTTCAGTTTTTCAAAGAAATTTGCTGATATTTTTCCATACCTCCAAAGTTCAGTCTTAGAAGTTGGGTGTAATTTCTGACACACAATCCAACACATTCAGTGATGCTATGTCTGGACTCTGGGGTGGTCAGTCCATTGTTCACACCAGCAGATTCTGTGTTTGAAAAGCACAGCATGATCTCAGCAGTGTGCTTGGTGTCTTTATCTTGATGTGGAATAAAGATTCTTATTCATCCTCCACCAGCTTTGGGAGCAGCTTTTGTTGGGAGGAATCAGCCATAACTCATTAGGGTTGCAAGAATGGAAGACGGAAGATTGAAAGTGGCTGTACACTAAGAAATTAATGTACAAAATGGTCACTGTGGCAGTACCACTCATCACATCTCAGTACCTTTAGTCAGGGAACATAACTGGACCATAATCCACTGAAATGATATTTTCTAAGCTGTACTGACTCCACACACCCCGTCTCGCCTCCAGGCTTTTATTTTACTGTTCTGTTTTAAAACATTTGGTTATGAAAAGATACAAATATTAACTTTTCACCTGGAAAAACTTAGTTAAAGTTCACAACTGGACCTTAAAACCACTGTTGTACCTTTGAGGAAAGATTTGCATTATTTGTACCTTGAACAAAAATCTGCACAGACCCTTTATTTCTAACAGTGTAGGGTCCATTAACGTAGAGTGGACAGATTAAATACTGACTACATAGATGTGAATGGCCACTCTTAATATACATGGTGGAGGATTCTGCATAATGCATGTAGGATCCATTTAACGCCCTGTTTTGTGTGTACTGTATTTCATAATGTCACGTCTTACCTTTAGAGGGCGCTATACACTGCATAATGGGAGATCAAGTGTTTTATATGCTGTAAAAAAGAGTTTTCAACAACTGCTTTTGTCATCACCTACATTTCTGGGGATTTGGAGACCTCTCTGGTGGAATTGTGCAACTTCAATGTGCGGTAGAACATTTTGAAACATCTCTTGTGCTCTGTATTTAAAACTAGACCTGCTTTCTGAACAGAGACATTTAGCCTACATTTATACCATTTAGCAGACACTCTTATCCAGAATCCAGAGTTTGGAGTCTTGCCCAAGGAGTTCTTAGGAGTCAAACCCCAGTTTGCAGGGTGGAGGTCAGCAGTATTGCCCACCACTCCCTTCCTGATGTGAACTAAAGACAAAAAGGGTGATGTTACTACTGTTATTTCCACAGAACACCCACCACATCAACAAGTACTGTTACATTTTTAAACTATGTAGATCCTTAAATTGTAACTTAAATTGTAGGCCCAACATTTTATTACACACATCTATAACCTAAGAATAGCTCAGCCAATCTGCATTGAAGTCCTTGTACTGAATAATAAGACTTAATCTGTAATAATCCTGTGATTTTAAGGGGTTAAATACTTATTGAGACACACAAAGTGTATTTAATTGAAATGGCAAATGGTAACATCACCGTTCTGTTCTTCAAACGGTCTCCCCTCTATCCATCAGACTGAGGTTTGATTCCTCACTTAGGAAAGCACATGCTGTACCAATAAACGTCCCTGGGCAAGACTCCTAATGCTACATTAGGTTACCTCTATAACATAATGAAACTGGACAGTCTGCCTACCAATTGCCGTATATGTAAAGGATGATATATGTTTTATTGGCAGCCTCATGTTACCCTGATATTTTGAGATCTGTTAGATTTACTATGCTGTAGTTCAACTTTTCTTATGAAAAGAAAGTAGACTTTAAATGTATGGCTACTGAAAAATCGAATGTATGTGATTTTCCCTTACTCCAAACGTGGTTAATCAGCCACGACATGTTCATATGTTAATAAAAAAGGTTTTGGGTGAGACTTTCAATACTTATGTAAGTTAGCATTGTAGCTCCAGTGCAAAACTGAAGAACTTCAGAAGCCAAACGTGTCTTGGCCATGGCTTTACAAGCTATCTCTAAGAGAATGAGGCCATTTGAGTAATCGGTGCACACACAGGTGCTTTTCACCCATTTTTCCCTAGCAAACGATATCAAAAGTAATCAGAAACTGGTCTGATTGACATGCTCAAGGAAAGACTCCATATGCTGAACAGTTTGTAGTCTTATATAATGTGTTGTCTATGAACAGAGTCCAAGTTAATTCCAAGCAAAATATAGCAAAAAAACAAACACAACAGAATGACCCCAGACAAGATCACTTCATAGCAGGGGTGTCCAATCTTAACCTGCAGCCACACCGGTCCTTTGAGGATTTCATTCCAGCAAAGCAGGAGGACACCTGATCAGCAGTTCGAAGACTAAACAAGCAGAATCAGGTGAGCTTCAGCTCATTTTGAGCGAAAACCTGAAGCCACACCAGCCGTTTGCGGATAAGACTGGACACCCTGGCTTTATAGAGTCCAGCGTTCTGAATGAACATTGTGAAACACAGTTAAACCCACTGAGTAACTAAATGGTGCAAAATCACTGGCCTTCTTAGGACTATAACAGTGTACAGCATAATGAGTGTCCCTGTTGCACTCAGTGGTATCAGCATATGTATATGTATTGAGGATGGTCCAGCACAAGTGATAGATTTTCATGATTGGACAACACACAAAGTTCACAAAAAAGCTTTATTGTATTGAATTTGTCTCTGAACAGCACATCAGGCGATAAATAAATATGACACAGTCCAGTTCCTGTTGAATCACCATTGGAAATACTTTTCAGTCCATGTTTAGGCTTAGTCTGGGTCTGGGAAATCGGCCCTTGATTCTCGGATGATTTCCACATTTGAAATACATTAAAAATATCCGAAGCAATTTCTGGCTGGTTCTCCTCAAGTGACCTCAATATATGCACTTCATTAAAAGAGCAGCTATTATTGCAATTTGTGACTATAAACCTCATAGATTCTCTGATGTAGATATAAAAACTTCTTTCTGATGGAAAAGAAGATGAAGGCTGGTAACCTGATGACATCTGAAGAATTTAATGCTTCTAAAAGCTCCTTCACAGAAAGTTGTTACATGAAATTGCTATGATTGCGCTGCCTGATGCCTGAGACCGTTGGTGAGGTACAGCTTAGGGCCAAACCTTTGACCAATCAAGGACTGATGGAGGTGGACCCCTCCGGTCACTCTTTGTGACACCGATCATATGAAGAAAATGGCTTAGATACATAGATATTAAGAATATTAATTAATTATTACTCCAGTTTTTGGAGTTTTACCATTATAACTGAGCGTGTGTCAAAAAATCAACTCACTTAACTTTGAAGCGCTTAATTAAAGCACGTGCTTGATTATTTTCCAAAAACACGTGTGACCAGTGATGTCCAAAGCATGTTTGACCTACAACCACATGACTGCTTTAGAAACTGATTCAGCAGAAGACAACCAATATGGTTTCAAGCCAAAACCAGACACTTAGATCTTGATTTAGATTTCATATATAGACTCACACCTTGACTACAAAATCATATGAAGGGTGAAAATCATATGGAAGTTTTAAGTGAACAAGGTTACTCATAGGTTTGCTATAAATACCCGCTATAAATCTTGAGCCTGTAAAGCGATCATTTTTATCACACCACAACATCATGTTTGTGTTTATGTATTGCAAAAGAAACTAATAGCATACTTCAAATCACTAGAAGATAAAGATTTGGACTTTTGGACAGAGCTGTTGTTCCTGCTTTTAACCACCAGGTGTCATTAACCAAGGCCTAAAATAATGAATCTTCATTTTGCCATTACTGTGTTTTTGTGAGGCTGTGAGACAGGCCCCAGACGTAGACTAAGACTAAATAACCCAGACCTCAGCGTTGCACCCTTGGTGAAGGGAAATTCCATCAATTTTGCTAAATTTCTGCATAAGTCAGTGGATGAAAGTCGCTCAGAGTGGCTTGATGTGAAACGTTTCATGGTAGAGAAGCTTAGTCTCAGATGTCTTCACAGTGGTGGTGATAGGAACCAGGGGTCACAATGACTAGAA